TATAATTAAAATATTCTCCTGCTATAGATATACACAATTTCGATTTTTTCTTTTGTCTCTCTTTTATCTTTTTTTTTTAATTTTTCATCATATCTCACAGCTAGTAAGCATAATATGTATATGCTTACCATCGCACCGCGCCAATCGCAATTGAACTTGAAGCGCGGACCTGCTCCGGCTGGTAACGTGCGGTCCACCGCGGGAATCAGCATCAGCAGCGAGTAGAAGAGTGCCGAGAAGATACAGGCGACGGCGATCATCACGCGGAGGTAACGACCGGTTGACGATTTATCATTGGTGATCTGATGGCTGGCGAGCTTGTCGGCGATCGGTCCCGCTATCAGCGGCCCCAGTATCGCTACTGCTGGCGAGATCATCGACACGAATCTGATGTTTTCGATGCTCAGTCCCACCTTGGTCATGTGCAGCGGAAGAAACGGGAAGAGACAGCCGATACCTCAAGAGGAATAAAATCGTGATTATGCGATTGCGATAGAGAGAAACTATTAACTCATGCTTAAATTTCAACGCGACTGCAGGCAAAATACACCGGTCGATTGACGCTTACCTCCGAAAAAGATGAACAGAAGACACTTGAGCGATATAAGATTCATGTTGATGAGCTTCTTCTTCGGCAAGTCTTCCTCCGTGTCCTGATGCATCTTCTCCGTTGACGCCGTCGTGGCCATCGCGGACGCAAGTAGCCCAGTTTCTCTTATTACTCTTGAGAAGGATGGTGAGCGTGCAACCCGGTCGATCGGGAGCCGTCTACTATACTGACTGATTGCCTATCTCCTGCATCGTCCAACCTATGCATAGATATGCACGCTTAAGATTATACATCAAAGCCTAGGAAGAATTACGGATGACAAAACTATTTATAGCTATTTATAAATGTTTATGAACAAAGTCAGAGATAGGGTAGAGAACGAGTAACATGTGCTAATAAACATAAAGCGGCATTTCGACATTAATAATTATGCTCTTGTTCCTGCGTGGTAAACGCTGGGAATTATAAAAAGAAATTTATTTATTATAGTAGAGCTGCCCGGATATAAAACGGAATTTATCCCATTGCTATATAATTGAGATTTATTGTTATTATAGTTGTATACAGTTAGTTGTCGCTGAAAAATTGATTCCAACACGTCGAAATAAAAAAAGCTTTACGAGTTCGGTCGATCGTCGACGAGGCAGGTCGTCATGCGAATCGGCCACGTGTACGCGTTATAGTAATCGGGCAGGAAGACCATTGCACCTTTACGCCGTTCACGCGCGTGCGGCCGGAGCCGGGACATCAAAGGCAATCCGGATGTGATGTGATATATCGATCGACCCGCCTGCTGTACGTGTGCTGTGTGCAGGTTTGTCGGTAGCGTGCGACGACAGACGACAATAATAAAGTCGTTCCGTATCTATATTTGCACCTCTAGGCATTGATATCATTGGTATCATTGGTATCATTGGTATCATTGGTATCATTGAAACCATTGGTACCGTGACAAATGTATACTTCGAAAGCAAATTATCCAATACATATGCAGAGTAGATCGCGATCTTCCAGTCTGAGCAAATAAGTACGCGAGCTTGTAAAAACTCTATCTTTCTCTTACGTTTCTAATTTTGCAATGTGCAATATCCTAAACAAAATCCTAGATATATTATTAGGTTAAGTAAAAAGTCATCGCGTTTTTTTAAAAGACATCTATCAGTAAAAACCGCAATTACTTTCTTGCCAACAATATAAATATATCTTGATAAAGTAAAGTTTCAGCTTTAAAAATTTTTTTTTTTAAATTATACGATACGACAATTTTTAATGGAGTTATGAGCAATTAAAGTCAAAATAATTCTTTTATTTAATCCGCGATAACTCAGTAATCAAAAGTCGTAGGAATATTAAAAAAAAACGACTTTGTAGGGAAAGTATCAAGCTTTCACGATAGGTAATCGAAAATTTTCTCAAATTCGTTTTGGACACGTTACAAATCCACAAAGTGAGAAGAAAATTTTTCGTCTTTTTCAGCTCGTAGTTTTTGGTATGTAAAAATTATCAAACTCATATAAACTTAAAAAATGTGATAAGTTTTTAAAAGTAGAGATTTCAAGCTTTAAAACCCTTTTTGTAAATTTGAATTTCATTCATTATTGACGAAGATATTGTATATACAACTTTGAGCTAAAAAATACGCGATGACTTTTTACTATACCTAATATTAAGATTTTCCCCCCAAGTGTGCAGATAAAAAAAAATTGTTTAAAAAAATAACTATTCTGTTGCAAGATAAGATGAAAATGTGATTGTAAATAAGAATTATAAAATTAATTGACATTCGTGGAAGCGCAATCCGATTCGTTCTTGGATGAAAATTCACGCTTATTATTAGATATTATATTGGAAAAATCTTCCAGATTATTAAAAGCAGTAATTCAAGACAGTAGGTCGGCAATTAATATTCCACAGCATCACACCATGTTTTCATTCCTTGCAGCGCTCACGATAAAATCTTCATCGAGAGCATTTAATATAATAGAAAGAGTATGCGATACCGAAACTTTTTCAACGTCACACTGAAGGATAAAGGATAAAGAGAATAAGGGAGAGGCATTTTTCGTTCTATGCTCTATGTGTATATATACAAACATGACGATTATCCATGAATGAACAGCACGTGCATATATCTTACGTGTCGAGAATTTGTGCCAAGGCAAACGCGCCTATACAATTACATGGATGCTTCTCAAGTATAATTGCCATATCAATCTTCCGATCCAGATGTAACAAATTCAGGGCATTCAAGGCACATGTATTACTTACGTACGCAAATGTGCGTGCATCGTACTTGCTGTGACGATCGATTTTTACTGAGCGCACGGCATGCCTGTGATACGCTAATTATATTATAACAAATTGCTCTGTTTTCCCGTAACTGTGTCATTTTCAGTGAAAATCGACCTCTACAAATCTGAAGCCCTATTTTTGAAACTTTCATTTAATCAATAGAGTTCTGCCTTGTCCACAAAATAAATTACAGAAATACGTGTATATACGAGTATATATATAAAAGAAGTTGCAATAATTTCAGTTTTTGAACGGTTGAAAAAATTGAAAATTTTCCAACTTACTCGTAAGTTGAAAATTTTTCATGAAAACCTGACATTTATTGTAAATTCAAATGTAAAGAGTTACTGCAATATGTGCGCGCGCGCGCGTGATTTATAGTTCTTCGCATAAGAATAACACATTGTATATATTGTGTACAAAAATAAATTTACACATTTAATATAGTACAATGTATAGTGCTATTTTTACACGGAAAACTAAATCATATACATATACATATAATATATTAACTACGTTTAATTATTGTAAAATTCTTTAATATGATTATGCAATCTTAGTCCTTAATTTCTCATTGAATATAAACAAATTGAAGAATTTCTTTTTTCTGTAGTTATTGAAATCACTTTTCAGTTTTTACAGACTTGAATTTGCAGTATTTTCTTGGGAATATATTGATACTTCCGAGCAACCGCAAGATATTATAATCGATTCGTTTCTCACAGCTTTTCATCGAGTTCATTTATTTTCCTTTCACATTATTTCGAATATTTTCTTTTCGATTCTCACATGCATTAGGTATCTCTCCTTCAATATTATTTTCATTCAGGATCCACCAAACATGACTTGGCACTGTTATATATTTTTGTCATTATTCAGATGACCATTCTCTGTTTTATAACAAGTTTTATGGTGTAAATGAGATATTCTGATATAAATATGATAATTTTGTTACATGTCTTTGTTATATATTTAGCACATAACATAATGACGTAAATTAAATGTAATTAAATTACATCCATGTACCATTCTATGAATAAGACATAACAAATACAAAATACATTTACAGCACAAAGCCATAATAGAAAAAGATGTAAATTATACATATTTTGGTTACATCTGCAAGAATGTATACTGTAACACTATAACAGTTACATCACTAAAATTATGAGATCATACTTCCCTATAAAATTACATCACTACGATGTAATTTAATTTCATAAATTGTACGTCACTTTTTCACAGTGATTACATCATTCATTTAAAGAATTGAAAGAAATGAGAATTTATTATATAAACAAATCAAGGAACAATAAATGTGGTAAATTAAAAGAAACAATCGATTAATAAGTATTATTATAAATTTCTGATTATTCATCAATAAAGAAATAATCAAAATAAAATGAGGAGCTTTTACCAGGTCATTTCAATAAACGAGCTCTGAAAGATGCAAACAGTAAACTTTACTATTCTTTTATTATAATTTCATGGAACATTTCGACCATACTAAGTCCTTATCAATTGTGTTTATAAATGAAATAAAAATCCCTAAACAATAATTTATATAGACATATTAAAAACTTAGAAATTAATTTCGGTAACGGTATAAAAAAATGTATTAATCGGATCATCTCATCCACAATCACAATATGTGTTAAAAATTCAACAATATGTGTTATACTGAGTCAAATTATAAAAAAAAGTATATAAATTGTAGGTCCAAACTAATTCTTCGGTTAACAGCGAGAAAGGGTAGTCAATGTGGTCAGAAAAGAAAGTCCAGTCAATAACTTAGTGGTAACATTATTTCCAGTTGTAAAAGATGGTTGTATGTACGAAAGACATATGTAACATCCATATGGTGCAGAGTGAATAAACGACTAATAAGAATTATAACTATTATTAATAAGTGTCGCAGAGTTGTACATATTAAGTTAATTTTTATAATAATTTGTGAAGTTAAACAAAGATTAAATACCATAATATGTCGCAGACTTATGTAAAATGACTATAATAATTTATGAATTTAAACATACTAATATGAAACAATTCTTTGTGCTTGCATTTATCCACGATGTTACACAATCCGCCACACGTATGATTAATAAAGCAATCTATGCTGTGGGTTACAGATGCATTAACAAGTTAAACAAATTTATTAAAGACAAGAACACAAGTACATAAAGACAAGAAAGAATTTTTGACAGCAATAACGTAGTGTATAAGATTTTATGTAATGATTGCGACGCTTCTTATGTGGGACAGATTAGTAGAAAACTAAACACGAGAATAAATGAACATATTAATAATAAGAAAGTAGATTCATCCAGACATTCTGTTATAACAGAGCATTCATTATTTTATAATCATAGCTTTAATTGGAAGAATATTAAAATATTAGACTCAGAATCGAATTATAATAAGAGACTTATTTCGCGGAAACATATACATATAAAAGAGCAGATCAATGGTATAAATTTAAAGAAAGATAGAGAATCTCTCGATGACCTATAAGTTTTTTTGTTGAGTGTCTTTATTAACAACAAAAAACGTTAGCGACTAGTTGGTCCCTCTCTGTTTATCGACACCGTCGTACATAAGCAGCAACATTTACGATTTATTGTCCGTCCGGTGAAGATCATTTACATCATTATTAAGAGAATTCGATAATACATGTTGTAAAGATATTGAGTTACAGGAAGATTATGGGGAATAGGATCTTATATTTCGACTGCTGTATCATTGTACGTGATTGCATTATTTTATGTTACAACTACAACCCTTCAACCCCTTTTTTACAATGTTTACGATATGTTATACGATTTTGTTTAAATTCACAAATTATTATTATACTCATTTTATATAAGTCTGCGACACTTGGTTTAACTTCACAAATTATTATAAAAATTAACTCAATATATACAACTCTGCGACATTTATTAATAATAGTTATAATTCTTATTAGCCATTTATTCGCTCTGCACCACGTAGATATTACATATATCTTTTTCGTATATACAACCATCTTTTGCAACTGAAAATAATGTTACCACTAAGTTATTGACTGGACTTTTTTTTCTAACTACATTGACTACCCTTTCTAGCTGTTAACTCAAGAATTGGTTTGGATCTATAATTTATATATGTTTTTTTATAATTTGATTCACAATTAGTGTCAGACTCACAGTCAGTATAACATGGTTGAATTTGTAACATATATGTATGTATGTATATTGTGAGTGTAAATGAGATGATCCGATTAATACATTTTTTATACCGTTACCAAAATTAAGTTCTAAGTTTTTAATATGTCTATATATAAATTATTGTTTAGGGATTTTTATTTCATTTATAAATACGGCTGATGAGGACTTAGTATGATCGTTCCGTGAAATTATAATAAAAGAATAATAAAGTTTACTGTTTACACCTTTTACGCTCGTTTATTGAAGTGATTTGATAGAAGCTTCCCATTTTATTGTTTGAAATTTATACAAGCGAATTATCTAATATATTTTCTATTGTAATTATTTATAATCAATATAATTTAGCAAATAAAGTCTATTCAAAACTTAGGTTAGATTCTATATAGTTTGCTTCTATTATGCTATCAGTTAAATATTTTTATGCAGTTAGATAATAATATATTTGATTATCATGTCG